TTTTTTTAATTTTTTATTTAATATGTTTATCTTTCACTTAATTTTATATATTTTTATATATTTTATATATAATATTTTTATATAATGCTTAAAACAGTATACTTTCATTTCACTCCGCCATATTGAATTTCCAAAATCGCCACACTACTTTTATAAGAGCAAAAGTGTACAAACATTTTTGGATTGTTAAAGTATCCCAAAATGCAATCGGTAAACGAACAAAAATCCGCATTTCATCCACTTTTTTTTGACGTAGAATAAGTCTTACGTTTCGATATGGAGATTATACTCAAATGTTGTAGTTGTAATTTTTACAGCTTTATTGCAGGAGAACTAATGAAGCGATTTGAAAGAAAAGTGTGACGTTTCAAAGATATTTCGGAACTTATCGACAGATTCATTTCTGTAAGTAACCAATTCGGTTTCTGTCGTAGAAATAACGAAAAATATTGGCTTGTTTAGGGGTCCATTTTGAGCCTTTAAAGTGCTCTAGAAACTTACGATTTGCAGATTAAACTTTCATTATAGATTCTTTGGAGCAATAGAAATATTATCATGTGCAAATTGTACATAAGTTCAACAAATATTGAGCATTTTAATGCAAAAATTTGTTGAAAAAAATAGCAATTTTTTTTTTATTTCCAAAATGGTCGAAAACCGCTCGAATGATTTTGTTTTTGTTTTCTTTAATCAAAAATTCAGGCGTTTTCCTTTCGTTTGGTATATAGGAAGTATTGGTTGATGTCTTCTAAGTATGTTTATTTTATTCAAATATATGGGTATAAATGATTTCCCATACAAAATCAGATCGTCATCATTTTGCAAACACGTGCATGCGCTGGAAGTGAAAGGAGACAAAAAGTATGTGTGTGTAGGTGTTTCGGCTTTTGAATAACAGATGGCGCAATATTTATAAAAGGCAAAGGTGAAGGGTGTAAAGGTGTAGATGAAGAATAGAGAAAGGATATAGACAGAGACTTAATCTGGGGACTTTTTCGGGATTTTCGAGATTTTCGATATTATCGGGACTTATCGATATCATAATCGATATTTTATCGGTTTTGTTATCGGTATTTTTTATCGGTTTTGTTATCGAAATTTTTATCGATATTGTTATTGATTTTGCTATCGATATTTTCGGAACTTATCGATGTAATAAACGATATTTTTTAACGATTTTGTTATCGATATTTTAATTGATTTTGTTATCGATGTTTTTATCGATATTATTATCGTTTTTATTAGCGATATTTTTTTTCTTTGTGCTTTCGTTTGGATGTACTCTTAACCATACCACGTATTCTACGTTTAAATTTAGCGGCTGTGTCTCCGATACAGCCTGCAGACCAAGACGAAGGCGCTGGACTGTTCCTTTTGTTCTTTTTCGGATAGATTTTCAAAGTTTTTGCTGGCTGGGGAGCAAACATTTCACTCATCTATGTACATATGTACTAGGGATGTTTCGAATGTCATATGTTTGAATGCGAATATGTGTATACAGTGTTTTAATCTAGTAGTCAAAGTTCAAAAGGGGCATATTATGTATATTTCAAAAAAGTAATTTTGCTGCCTTTTCTCCCATGAGGCGATTTCTTAGAGGCTCGTATAAAAGGCTGGCTGCACTGAACAATTGCTCACTTGGAACGCTGGCGGGTAGAGCGCTCAAATATTTGCGGGGCCAGATCTGTCAATTTGTCGTATTTTAGTTTAGTTTTCTACCAACCGAGGGATTTTCACCGATATGAGCTCGTTTTTCTTTAAGATAGGCCTTCAATTGAGCTTTAATTTGACATTTTTTTATGCCTCCAGATTCTATATTCGAGCCTTCGCTTCACTGGAGGTATCTAAAATTATTTCTAGGTTGCGTATAAGATTTTTAGCAGTACTTGTTGGAGGCCCATCAAAGTTGCTTGATATACTACTTAACCGTTTAGTGCCTGAAGCCGGTTATTGTCTTACAGCCATTTCAACAAAACATTCGTATCATTTGATGCGAATGCGAATATGTAAAATGACGCGAATCATTCGCATAACGAATGCGAATGCAAATATTCGCAACATCCCTGATATGTATGTATATAAATATGTATGTGCATGCAGAGAACTTAGACAGATAGAGAAGGTGCAAACTGAAAGTGGAAACTATTCGCGGACGAAAAATTAACAGCGTTAGAAAAGTTCAAGTCGGAATGTAGAAATTCTGTTGAATTTAATGTTGATAACATAATACAATGTTGAGCAACATGAAATGTGATGTTCTTTGTGAGCAAATAAACGAAAATATGGTAAATCTTCACATAATTTTCATTAATT